TATTAGTAAAAGCTACTCGAAAACAATTAGGTTCAAGAAAAACTAAGAGAAACATGCAATTTTAAGCAGAAAGTAAGTAAGTTGTACAACAATACCTTTGAAGTATGTTTAGGAGGCAAGACTCTTGCATTGTTCAAAGATGCTTGCCTAATCAACTTTCCCATAGAAAACTCATTTTCCTCATCATGAATTTCTTCCACTTTCGCGAAAACCGGCAAAGAAGGTGCCCTCTGCAGATTTCCCTGTGCCTGTGAAGTATGTTTTGAAGGTGAGATTTTTACTTTGTTTATAGATGCTTGCCTTATCAACTTTCCCATAGAAAAATCACTTTCCTCATCATGAATTTGTTCACTTTCTTGAAGAACTTGCAAAGAAGGTGCCCTGGTCTGTGATGTTTTTGGTGACAATACTTGTGAAGTATGTTTCTGAGATGAAAAATCATGAATTTGTTCACTTTCTTGAAAAACAGGTAGAGAAGGTGCCCTCTGCAAATTAGTTTTTGGAGGTGAAATTTTTACTTCGTTTATAGATGCTTGCCTAATCAATTTTCCCATAGAAAAATCACTGTCTTCATCATGAGGTTCTTCTTTATAATCCACAAAAACAGGCAAAGAAGGTGCCCTCCGCAGATTACACCTCTGTTCAGATGATGACGACGATGCTCTTTGTAATCTTGGTTTGCTTCTTCTTGAAACAAGATTCAATTTTTCACCTTGTGGGAGTTTTTGCAGTGAAGAAAATGTTTCCTCCATAGATTTTCCAGATAAAAAATCTTGGGTTTTCTTTGAAGAAGAACAAGGATCAGAATAACATCTCAACATTCTTGATTTTCTATCAAGTAAGTTCCCAAAAAACCAACTTTCTTCAAGAAGCATTCCAGGTTCCATTTTGTCATTTTTGGGAGAAGTTGGAACAGACATTTCATCAAACACATACATGGCTATTACAAAACTTGTAAATTAACAGTTTTTATCAACTTGTTGGCCTCACAAATATAAGTTAAAGAGTTCCCCCACATGGGATTCTTGAGGTGTCCTTAATACTTTATTTCTTATATGTCTATATCTAGAGGAAAAAAAGCTGTCAAATGGGGTTGATTGGTGAGGCCATGTTGTGTGATTGGGTGTCATGTGCATATATAACAGTTGCGTATTTAATCAGTACAATGTGGACAGAAAGACTTGAAGAAGAAAAAAGACAGAGATATGTGGTAGGGTTGATCTACGGACTTGATCGAACACAGTAACTTTAACTTAGATCATGACTATGTGTATATGTTTGAAAGATTTACTAGTTATGTATAAATATTAGATGTTGAACTTAGTAACTTAACTTGTTAATTGGTTCACTGGTATATTGATGTAAAGCTTCAAATTTTGAATCTGCATGTGTTATGTGTAAGTGTTTTATTAGAGAGAAAAGAAAAAGACATGAATATGGCATTAGGTTACGAACTATGAGGTTTCAAGTTTCAATCAAAATTTAATAGAAGAAAAAAATCATTGAATTGTATTGTGTTGTTCCACAAATGGATTGGTCTTTAATTTCACCTTTTAAATGAATTGTTCTTTAACTTTTGTCCTTCAGCTATTGAACTTATATCTAGCCGCTAGCAGGGTACAAATTTTTTAGTCCTACGAGATGCAACATGTAAGATATTATGATGCAAAAATATTAAATTATGCCTCACAAAGAATTGTTTGTTATAAAACGGGTAAACTAAAAATCAACATTAAAAAGGCCATATATTTTAATGACTCAACGAAAATACTAGGTGATTTATTTTTATTTATTTAAATCTTTATAAATTTGATATATATGCTGATGAACGATAGCATATACATATATCATAAATTTGATATATATGTTGATGAAAAAAATATTTATTATTTATTCAAAGTATGCATAAACCAAATAGACAAAAATATGTGTAAATGTTTTATGATGGAGAGAAAGAAAAAGACATTGAATTATAAAAATAAAATAATAATTGTGGTGTGATAGATAGAAAAAATAGAAAAGGGAGGTGTATGCATTTAATTGGAACAAAAAAAGGATATATGAGAGAGTTTTTATGAACAAAATGCAAGGGGTGTGAAAGGAAAGACTTAGCTAATGCCAGCACATCCCATGTGATGGACTTGTTTTTTTGTTTGATTATTTGCTTCAACAAATATTTAGAATTCACTAGAATATTATTAACTTCTTGTTCATAATAATGTAACAGCTAAGTTTTACTAATAATAAATATACTTTTATTTTAGTTGGACAACCTAATAAGAAGGAACAAGTCTTATTTGATGATGGTGTTTCTTTGACGTTTGTTTAATAAGAAACCTTAATTTTCTTCAATCATATCAAATATGTCCTTTTAGGTTTGTTTAGTTAGTTGGACTGCTCATGACCATATGAAAAACCTACATGTTACTTTGTTTTTCATATGTCTGATATCTGCTTTGAATATAATGACTAATTCAAATATTCATCGAAAGTATTCTTTGGAGATAAAATGGTTTTTTTACTAGAGACGGAGCTAGAATATGTGTTACGAGTTTAGCTGGAGCTAATAGTTTGATTCGAAATTTATATTTGTCTTAAAAAGTTCATTGAATATGTATAGAATTGATCAATTAATTTAGAATTATGTAACTTGAATAAATTAGAATTTCAAACTTATAAGTTTTAAGTTCAGATCTACTTTTATTTCCTACTAAAAATGATTTTGTACTCATAGCTTGACCACAAAACCTCTTAATTAAGAATGAAAGAGTATTTTACTGCTCTACCGCTAAAATTTAATAGTAAAAACTTGCATGTTTATCTATGGAAAAAAGATAGCTTATGTTCATATTGTTGTAGTATTTCCTCCACTTCCACTAAAAAGATTATGCAAAAAATACATTTTGGATATAATATTTTTTTTATCTTATCAATTAACTACAGTATAGTTGTATAAGTGTAACTAATATGGATTGTGATTGAACTCTAAATATAAAAAATATTTTGTTGGAAGCTTCAACACGAACAAGTCCTACAATGTACGAGGCAGATTTAGTCGAGGCTTCGAGAATAAGTGTAATGTTGTGGGTCCCAAGCAAAGTCAAGTTGGATCTCGAGTGTAGTCTAGATCCGGTTTATCTTGTTTGGGCCTCAGCCAACATGCCTATCTCAAATAGATCTACACTTTGTCCTCTTATTACCTTCCAACTTTCGATCTCTATTTTGCCCTTTCTCATAAATAGGTAAAATATTTACAAAAAGCTTATTTGGACATCGTTATTTAATATACATCTAATTTCTAAAAAGTTCTACGTGTCTACCTACTTCAAATAAGTTTATAATCTGTTGCGTCTGAAATTTTATATAGTTAAAGTTCAAATCGAAATAATATTTTACCATATTTGGGCCATATCTATAATCTATTGGCTACTGGTCTAGTATGTGTGGCAGTATGAGCATGTGCAGCCGTCAAAATGTATTGGGACCTAAACAAATGCACTAATGTTAACCAAATTTATTTATTTTTTGGACTTTGTGGTATTTGGTCTTATTGCTTATATTCCAAGTACTGATTGCCTCGTCTTTTGGTTCATTGAATAGCCATTGGTGTTTGGTGAAGTAAAAAAAAAAGAAAATTACATAAATCTCAATAGTATATGAGTTACTTATTTAGATTTATTCTAGTTTGAAATATTATAAATTTTAAATATTTGAGTTTGGGGTGTTCATATACATGTATCTTGAGATACATAAGTTAAAATTGAGTATGATATGTTCTAGATAACACTATATCCAAGTGGATTTGCATGTATCTGGGATACATAACAAATTTCGTTCGCCTACCTCCCATCTCACTTGCCACTCTCCTATGTATCTAGTATCCCAAATACATGCACATACATATTTTCATGTATCCAAGATACATGACTATCTCGCTCGCCTCTCTCCCTATTTAGTGTATCTAGTATAAAAAAACACATGTATATAAGTGTATCTTCCTCAATATATGATATGAAACTCTTAATTAATGATAAAATATTATAAATATCGATAATGATAATAATATATATAATAGTAAAGTATATCTAATTACGTAGTTTCTCCTTGTTTATTTTCCAAGTATTGGTTGCCTAGTCTTTTGGTTCATTGAATAGGTATTGGTGATTGGTGAAGTAAAAAATATTTTTCTTTCCAACTTTTTGTTTAAGAAATGTTTCCCCTTTACTTCTTTTTTGTATTTGGGCCGTATCACTATAATTATGGCCCATATTCTGATTATTCTGAGCCCTTGGAAACTGTCATTCGTTTCTTTCAGAGGCCTCAACCTTTGTCTAATGGGCCTGTCAAGCTCCCCATGTAAATAAGTGTTTGGTACATATTTTTCCTATTTATGTATTTTTGCTTCCCCTGTCTGTATTTTCGCGCTCTCTTTTGTATTTGTGTATTTTACTATCGTGAATGAATATAAAAAATTACAAGAGAGAATGAGTATTATTAATACAAGAGCGAATATAAATGAATTTAGAGTAAATAAATTCAATTCAATGTATTCATGTAAATAAATGTATTTGTTGATACATCTTATATTGTATTTATAAATACAAGTAAAATAGAGTGAACAAATGAGTACAACTTGTACAAGCTTAAAGTGAATGAATACATTTTTCTATATTTTTTTTAATCCTTGTATATACCTAGAATATATTTGTTGATACAACTAATGAATACAAGTGATATTAGATTGAAGGAATACAATTGATCTACAAAAACAAATGAATAAAAAGAAATTAGAACGAATAAATACAATCTCTTATAATTTTTTATTATTTATATATTTTATAATATACTTGAAGTGTATAAATTTTCATAAAACCCAAAATATATTCATTTTTTAAAAAAAAAATCCTCTCTTTTTTCCTGTTTATATTATTCCTCGACTATTTTTATTCTTATATCCTTTCATTTCTTCTTGACAGAACAAAACTCAGTAACTCAGTTCCTCGAAGTGCCGTTACCATGGCTATGGGATTTTCTAGAGTCCCCTTGCTCCGGCGGCTCCCCGTTTCTTATCCGGCGCTACCTTATTCTTCATCACTTCAATCCAACCGTAAAATCAACATCTCCGCCTCTCTTTCTACAACCGAAGAATCTACTTCTTCTCTGATTCAGCATACACCAGTCCGTACCCGGTGGAAGCCAATGTGTCTCTATTTTACTCAAGGTAAGTGCACTAAGGTAATACAGCTCAAACTTCTCATACACACCTCTGTTGTTAGCATTTCAATTGAGTTCGACATTGATAAATTTTGTTTTTAGCTTTTCAGCTGAGTTCGACATTGATAAATTTGTTTTCGAACTGTATAGATGGATGATCCTCTGCATATTGATACGTTTAATCATAATTGCTCGTTAGAGCTTATGCGAAATGCTGCTAGACTTGAGAATTTGAAGCAGCAGGAGTTTGAGTACTTTTTGGTGCTTGATTTGGAGGGTAAAGTTGAGATTCTGGAGTTTCCTGTTCTACTTTTTGATGCTAAAACCATGGATGTGGTTGACTTGTTCCATAGGTCAGTTTCGTTTCTTAGCTTTAATTTCCTGTTAAATGTAATGTCAAGTGTCTTATTTGCTTGAGCTATTATTGGAAGGATGAAATACTTCTGCTAGCATTCCGTAGTTATGTATGCCTGTGAAATCACAAATCCAGTTGTAATAATGGCCTATTGGCTTGGGTACTTTTAAGGACCTATATAGGTTGCATTTTTTTTCTGGAAGATAGGATGGAATAGGTTTAGGACTATTTGATGTTATGTGGAGTGGGATAACCTAAGGATGGAGAGTAGAACTTCCCGGAATGCACACGTAATCAAATGATCGAAGTGGATTCTTCAATAATAATTTGACTGATAAAATAGTTGTAGAGAAACACAAGCAGGACTAAGGTAGGAAAAGTCCTAAAGATGCACTTCAGATGCTAGTATAACTATTAAATTTGCTTTGGGAGGTCTTTTCTTTGAATATGAAAATGATAATTGCTAGAGGGGTCAAATGAGAATAACACTGTAAAAGAGTCGACGAAGCTTTTTACAATTTTTTGAGAGGGATGTCACATATACTTTTCAAACTCACAACTGCAAGGGAGTGATGAGCTACGTGTGCATTAAAATTTTGCAAGCGAATTTTGCTGCCTGGACAAGTCTTGGTTCACTTAGGAAGCAGGGGAAGAAACTGGAAACAAGCCATGAGCTGTTAGGGTTTCACAAAATTGAAGGAGGGGGAAGTTTGTTACTTAATAACATAATCTTCTTCTCTAAACTGTGTTGCTGATCAATTAAATCTATTAAATTAGTCTGCGACCCATTCTTCGCATACAATGATTCTTTTAGCATATATATAAGTTTGTTGAATCCCCCAAGTATAAGAATTCTTTTCTTAAAATCCCCTTGTTTGAATTGCTGTCTCCGCCACTTGTTTGTTAGATTATTGTGTTTAAACATTTTTCACATCAGTGAAAGACTGTTTCAATGTTGGGAATACTATCTTAATTTTTCTTTTTTTGGTATTGCTACAGGTTTGTGAGGCCAACAAAAATGCACGAAGAAAGAATAAATCAATATATAGAAGGGAAATATGGAAAGCTAGGAGTTGATCGGTATGATAACTACTACATTAGATTGAAATACAATTCAGCGCTTGGCACTTTGCATCTTTTGCTTTTATATGAAGAATTGCAGTGTAGTTGTATCACATGGATCTTGTCTCTTATGGGTCTCAATTGTGTGTGCTGAGTCTATTATTGGTACTGCTTTACTGTTTTCAAAGTCTTCATTATCTTTCCTTCTTTTCCATGAACATAAGAATGAGTTCCTCACTACTTTGTGATATCCTTTTATTATGGCATCAACGTCACGGATTCAAATATGGAAGCAGCATGTATGCTTAGGATAAAGTTGTGGGCACATTATCCTCCCCTGTAATGCTCCAATTCTTATAAGCTAGGTTACCGTCTTAATAAGATATATTCACTAGAAAACTGGCATCAAGGAGTGTAGCTATAGGAAACATACTTGCATGATCTAAACCTGTTGTTAAATCATCAAGATTGCTAAAAGGATTTCTATATTTTGATGTTTTTAGTGAAGGACAATGGTGAGGAAGATAGAAATTGGATCACTATGCATGCTTAGTTGCTGATAGAAATTAATTCCAATTTGTTTTCGTTAACCATGGAAGCACGCATCATTTTGCAACAGTTGTTAATTCCTGGATCTGACTCTTAATGTTGTTCATTTGCATGTATGTCAATTCATGCAGTGTCTGGCATGATACAGCTATACCATTTGCGGAAGTTATCGAGCAGTTTGAAGTTTGGCTAGGTGAACGCCAGTTGTGGAGAAATGAACTGGGTGGCTGTCTTAATAATGCTGCCTTTGTTACTTGGTGAGTCGTTGCTATGAAAGTGTGAAATATTAAATAAATGCTACTGTTTAACTGAAAGTATCAGTTGATGGTTAAACTGTTATCTGATATTATAGTTAAGGATGCAAATTTAAATGGGTGGGAAAAGTCATTTGGATTTGTTGTGTCCTATATGGATGACTTGGAAATGCTTATATCCTAAAAGGTGCTCCAGCTACTTTCTTGTGGTGCATTTGTCACTAACTGGAGAATTACCTGTTTCTAGCTGTACTAACCCATGTTAGAGCTTCCTATTTTGTAGCACATGCATCTTCATTGTAACTGCACAACTTGGATTACGTATTAATTTAAAGGGTATATCATGAAGTTAAAGATTTGTATGTGATGCCAGGATGACGCTGCCTTTAAACCCATCTTTCATATTTGAGTATTTTGTATTTATATTCAATTAAAACACGGAGGGGGTATGACATAAGTAAAAGACCAATAAGCTAATGTTCACACTGAGTTTAATAGGTAAGATATAACAGACCGAGTAAGTACTTCTGAGCTACTAAATTCAATTTGTATATGGCAGTGGGAACTGGGATCTGAAGACTAAAGTTCCCCAGCAGTGCACCGTAGCAGGGATGAAATTGCCACCGTATTTCATGGAATGGATTAATCTGAAGGATGTGTTTCTGAACTTCTACAAGAGGAGGGTGAGTATGCAAACTTCTAAAAATGCCACTCTTTCTGATTGATTTAGGAATTTTAGATTTCCTCAATTTTTCTCTTACATTCTTCTTTTTGTATACTTATTGAAATATATATAACCGCAAGTATGGTTTTACTTCATTGATGGTAGGCGCCAGGAATGCTCTCAATGATGAGGGAACTCCAGATTCCTTTGTCTGGAAGCCATCACCTTGGAATAGATGATTCAAACAACATAGCAAGAGTAATACACCACATGCTAACTGATGGTGCCGTTTTGCAGTTAACAGCTAAAAGAAACCCCCGTTCTCCTGAAAAAGTTGAATTTCTTTTTAAGAATCGCATTGTATAACTATTTCCTGCTGAACCATTTTGTTATCACCGAATGTTCTCAAGTTTCAGTTGAGGTCTGTTGTATTCTGTGAAGCATCACGGCCACTCATGCGCGCCCCGACTCTGCCAAGACCAAACAGGTAAACAGAAAAGATGAAAATCGATTGGTGGACACTTGCATCAGTGTTTGTACATTAATATCATTTCCTTTCAGTTGACAATTGTTAGACTATGCACCAAGTTGTTGGAGTTCTTAACTGGGAAAATCATAAATCTTTCTTTGTTGGTTATGCTGGTTCTATGGACTTGTTCTTGTTTGATAATTATTTCTTTTCAATTGACAATTGTTAGACTATGCATCAAGTGTTTGTACATGTATTCTTTGTGACTGGGAGTTTTCATGTATCTATTTACCTAGTAGGCATATTGTAACATATTTATTATTTAGCATAAAATAGAGACGGATTCAGAATCTTTTAAGTTGATGGATTCTGAATTTTAGAAAAGATTGTTTGTTGGATTGTAGATAAGTTATTTGATTCTGTTGAACCCAGTTCGCGAAAAGATTCTGTTGGTGAGGACTAAACTCAAATTGAGCTAAAGTTATTTTGTGTAGCCTGTTCTAATATTTAATTTGAAAGTTCAAAAGAGGTTTTTGTTCGTTCATTTATTTTTTTTATCTTTCATTTCCCTATATCTTTGTAAACATGTTCCTTTTTCGCCGGCAAAGGGTATGAGTACCATAGCTTTCCACTATTTAATTTGTCATTACGTATGTGCATTTGCAAGAAAAGATCCTGTTCACAATTTATAACCACGTGCGATTGGATTAAGAAACAATTCTTTTCCAAGAAAATACTTAATAAACATATTCATTGTAAAATTAATCTGAAATCTGAATAAATAAATCCTTAAAAATGTCTTCCAAAACAAAACGTTAACATCTCCCATTCTTAACTTTGCCGAATAATTTAAATTTGTCTTTTTATTAATCCTTGGGGGTAATTATACATGTCACTAAAACCTTCAATAGATAAGCTCACTATTCTCTAGGTCCAATTAATCACCTTCACGCTTCAAATCATTAAAACTCGAATAATGAATAATTAGCATCATTAAATTAAAAAAAATTATCTTTGTCAAAACTCCATTACCTACCATTCTCCTATTATCAAATCAATAGCGTTGCCAAAGATCTACATCAAACTCCTAATGCTAAAATAGACCTAAGTACGCAATATTTAGCTTCTGATTATTTACACTAATATTCTGGCAGTTAAGATGGTGTTCAAATGATTTTGGGTTGGTGATTTTAATTATATGAAATTTTTATGTTTTTTTTTAAAAAAAAGAAAGATATTGAGGTGAAGTGAAGATGGGAGTATAATCTTCAAATTGTGTGTTTTAAGAGTGCAGAGAAAAATATTTCGCTAATAACTGATTTTAAATGAAGATAGACTACGATCAAGAAAAATGAAATATACACAATTTCACAAAGTTCATCAACAAATCTAGATAACATCACATAGTTTGATGACACTAGTTTTCCTCATGAAACAGTTTTGCGTGGTGAACTCTTTAATTATTAGAATAAGAATATATCCAAATAAACCTCATAATGGTAAAGGTATATTTGACTCAACTATATTAACGACACAAATTTAGACCATTTCATAAAAGTCAAGGGTAGTTTGGACTTTTTCCCTTTTATTTTTATTAGAAACAGTCTCACACATTTATCATTTTTAGCCGTTAGTGGATAAGGATATATTTAAATAAATCTCATAAGGATATATCAAACTCAACTATATTACCACACACAAATTTAGATCATTGCACAAAAGTCAGGGATAATTTGGACTTTTCTCCTTTTATTTTTGTTAGAAACACTCTCACGCGTTGAATATCTTTAACCTAATGTAACGATATATTTAAATAAACCTGTTAATAATAACGGTATAACTCAACTATATTAACGACACGCAAATTTATACCATTTCACAAAAATCAAGGGTAATTTGGACATTTTCCCTTTTATTTTTTGTTTGAGGCTCTCTCCAACCCTCCCTATACTTAAAAGCTTTCCGTAATTGTGGAAAAAAAAAATTGAAACCCAACACCCTTTATATACGAAAAGAAAATCTATTTGGCGGTAACGTTTGGTGCGAAATACCAATAAAATTTGCAAAATCACTCTGTTTTATATAACCCACGCGCATCTACCAAGAGCGTGCTATACACCTCAACAAATCAACTCTAATAAAAACCACCTACTGTACGTGATTTCCACGCTCGCTTAAAGCGCGTGGATATAAAGTGATTTATCTCACTACGCTTTCAAGTGAGAACCCTTTCTTCTATATACCTCCGCCCCCAGTCTTCGTTTGTTTTCGTTTTCACAACAGCGAAACTCAGAGAAATTTCAGCAAAATCATTGAGAGAAATGGAGCAAACGAAACCCTAATCGAAAGAGTAAGAAGGAAAATCGATGATTGTCAAGTGTTTTTTCCGTTGGTTTTGTGGATTTTGATCAATCAATCGAAGGTTAGATGTATCGTTTTTGCTAATTTATGGTTTTTCAGAGGTTTAATTGAAGAAAAAACGAGGAAATTCGATCGTCATTGGTGTTTATTGGATGATGATTAGATAGGGATTTTGATTTGATTGTTGATACGAGGATATATTGTTATATAGGTGTAGGGACTGTTAAATTAACGTAGAGATATATATTAGGAGGTTGGTGGTTGTTTTTGTCATGCGATTTTCGCGGATAGCGTCGGTTGAGAGGAGTAGGACGGATACGAAATTGGTGTATTCTAGGGCTAGGAAGAAACATAAAAGACTAGATGAAGTTTGTGAAGAAACGTATAATCAGAATCATAATGGTGTTGATAAAGTTGAAACGAGTGAGTGGAATGGTGAGGAGAGTGAGGTTGAGCTACGGAGGAGCTCTAGGGTTAGAAAAACTCCTGTTGTGCTTGATGCATCGCCTCCTCCTGCGAGGAAGCGTCAGAAGATTGATAGGAGTGGGGTGAGAAGTGGTAGCAGGTTGGAGAAAGGAGATGTGGTGAAGGTGGAGTCACCTTGTTCAACCTCCAACCATTTGGAAGAAGGCACTAGTTCTTGGGGATTGAGATTGAGAGCTAGGAGTAAGAGAACGACTAATAGAGTGAGGAATAGTGTGGATTCGTCTCCGGTGGGTAAAAGGAAGATTTTTCAGGATGTTGACGAGCTGAAGGAAGAAACAGAGTTAGAGGTTGGAGAGTTGGATAAAGAAGAAGATAGTGAATGTGAAAAGTCAACTATAGTTAAGTCGAAGAGACCTGGAAGAATAAAAGCTTCAAATGTAATGGTTACTGAGCAGCAAGAAACTGGTACAGGTGGTGGTGTGGAGGATGGTAAGATGGTAGACCAGGAAGAGCTGCTACATGTGAGGGATGAAACATATGACGGCATTTCAACAACTAGATTTAAGGAGGGGGTTGAGGATGGCAATGTGGCATTGCCGTTAGATAACGAAGACAAGGCTCAGTTAGAGACTTGTGTAGAGCCAGAAGAATGCCACGCGACTGACCAGGTGAGTATGCTGGAACAGGATTTGCAAAGAAGAAATGAAGTGAGTGTTGGGGTGATTGACCAAAAGGATGGTGTGGAAGGTGGTTTACTTCCTAATGATGAAAAAGATGGAGGCACAGAGAAGCAAGCTGAAGATGAAGTTGACAGAGTTGATTATGCCCAGGAAAAAGATGGAGGCACAGAGGAACAAGCTGAAGATGAAGTTGACAGAGTTGATTATGCCCAGGAAAAAGATGAAGGTGTTTTTAGTGATAAAGCTCTGGAAATGGAGAAGGTGGTCAAGAAAGAATGTGCTTCTGATAGTACTTTGAGAAAGCGGCGAATAAGAGAGGGAAGACATTGTGGTTTGTGTGGAGGAGGTACTGATGGTAAACCTCCAAAAAAGCTAGTTTATGGGGCTGCCAGTGATGATGAAGCACACAGTGGGTCCTCTGCTTCTGATGAACCTAACTATGACATGTGGGATGGATTTGGTGATGAACCTGGCTGGCTTGGGCGCCTCTTGGGGCCCATAAATGATCGGTATGGTATAGCTGGGATTTGGGTACATCAGCAATGTGCTGTATGGAGTCCAGAGGTATGATCCGTTTCCCTTCTCAATTGTATTTTCCTTAATCTATGTCTTCAAATTTAATACTTGTTGAAATTCAACTGCCTAATCCAACTGGGCATGCTAGAAAATTATCAAGCATTTCCAATTTTTGTTTCAGAAAGAAGGAATGACCATGCATTTCCTTTTCAATATTGCTTATTCCTTTTCAAAAAAAAGTTATTAGTTAATTTGGAAGAGATGATTTGAAACAAGTGCAATAGGCATGTCTTCTTAAGGAAGGATAAGGTTTTTTGAACTATAATACTGGTCAGCGTGTTGCTCTTAGCATGGATGAGGAGTTAATTATCAGTTCCATGGCATACTTGAGACAATTTTACCAGTTGTATGGTTTGAATCTTTTCTCAATCGATTATATTTTCATAAATATTTGTGTCCAAAAAGATAGGAATGGATATTGAACATAGCTAACTCCAACTAGCTAGGACCAAGGCATAGTTGATTGATTGATTTCTTCATATTTACTGCTCAATGGTGTGTTTAAAAAGTTATTAGGCCTTGCTATTATCATCTGTGGGATGCATTGTGATGGATATACTAGTATAAAGTAAGCAACAGACTGAACTGTTTGATTCAGTTTCTATTGGTATATGGCATTCATAGAATTTCATACTATCTGGATTATTTTCCTGCTTGATCACTCAATTTTCCAAGTCATAGTTTCATGGGCAAGGATCCAATACTTCTTCTACTTGTGCTCTCAGGTTTATTTTGCTGGCTTGGGATGCTTGAAAAATGTTAGAGCAGCGCTCTGCAGGGGAAGGGTCTTAAAATGCAGCCGCTGTGGAAGGCCCGGGGCAACAATTGGTTGCCGTGTTGATAGATGTCCCAAAACTTATCACCTGGTTAGTTTAAGTTTCCTGAATCATTTCATACTTCAAAAACTCAGCATAGACCACTATTGGCATCTCCTGATGCCTAAATATAGTATTTACTTTCTTTTTGGTTATTGCTTTTTTTATTGTATCTGTATATCTTCATTACCTCACTTTTTGTCTTTGTAATATTAGATTTTGACTAAGCAGGTGTTAAATTTTGCAGCCTTGTGCACGGGCAAATGGCTGCATCTTTGACCATCGTAAATTTCTCATTGCCTGTACAGATCACCGACATCTCTTCCAACCATATGGAAGTAATTATTTGCAACGTATAAAGAAATTGAAAGCTAGAAAAATGAAGTTTGAGCTGAGAAAGTTGTCAAATGATGCATTGCGCAAGGATGTTGATGCAGAGGAAAAATGGTTAGAGAACTGTGGAGAGGATGAGGAGTTTTTGAAACGTGAAAGCAAGAGACTTCATCGAGATCTATTGAGAATCGCGCCTGTATATATTGGAGGCTCAAACTCCGATGCTGGTGTACAGTTTCAGGGTTGGGACTCTGTTGCCGGGCTCCAAGATGTCATCCAATGTATGAAAGAGGTTGTCATCTTACCACTTTTGTATCCTGAGCTCTTTAGTTCTCTGGGGCTTACACCTCCTAGAGGAGTTCTTTTGCACGGATATCCTGGGACAGGTAAAACTTTGATAGTACGGGCACTGATTGGTTCATGTGCACGCGGTGACAAACGAATAGCATATTTTGCCCGTAAAGGGGCAGATTGTTTGGGAAAGTATGTCGGAGATGCTGAACGTCAGTTAAGACTTCTTTTTCAGGTAGCTGAGAAATCTCAACCTTCTGTCATTTTCTTCGATGAAATAGATGGTTTGGCACCTTGCCGTGGTAGGCAGCAAGACCAGACACATAGTTCAGTCGTGTCCACTTTGCTTGCTCTAATGGATGGTTTAAAACCTAGAGGTTCAGTTGTTGTAATAGGTGCGACAAATCGTCCGGATGCTGTTGATCCCGCATTAAGGCGTCCGGGTAGGTTTGATCGTGAGATTTATTTTCCACTTCCATCTGTTAAGGACAGAGAATCTATTCTTTCATTGCATACAAAGAAATGGCCTAAGCCAGTGTCTGGACCAGTACTCAAGTGGATAGCTAGCAAGACAGTGGGCTTTGCTGGTGCTGATTTGCAGGCTCTGTGTACTCAGGCAGCCATAATTGCTCTAAAAAGGAGCTTTCCCTTGCATAAGCGACTCTCTGCAGTCGTGAAGGTGCCCAATGCTGCATGTCCCCCTCTTCCCAATTTTAAGGTGGAGGAGAGGGATTGGGTAGAGGCTCTTACATGTGCACCACCTCCATGTTCACGTAGAGAAGCTGGAATGGCTGCAAACGATGTGGTTTCAGCACCTCTACACACCTTTCTTGTTCCATGTCTGCTGCAACCCCTTAGTAGATTGATTGTATCCCTTTATCTGGACGAACGCCTCTGGTTGCCGCCTCTACTCTTCAAAGCTGCTGAATTTGTAAAAGATGTTGTTCTTTCTGCAATGGTTGAGAAGAAATTACCAAGCAATAATTGGCAGTCCTATGTTAATGATTTGCTTCAAGAGCCAGATGTTATCAGTCAGATTGAGAATCACTTTGTACGTGCCAACATTCTGGATGGAGATGCTAATATTGGTGGTTTTGATGCTGTTGATGATGGCAATGTTCATGGTCTCTCTAATTCTCAACCATCAAAATTGCAGTGGGCAGGGGCTCGGCCTAAATTGTTGAAGAATATCTTTCATATGGCCGGAAAGAAATCGGGATTTAGAATACTAATTTCTGGAAACCCAAGATCTGGCCAAAGGCATCTTGCTTCCTCTCTTCTTCATTGTTTTGTTGGTAATGTCGATGTCCAGAAGGTGGATTTGGCTACTATTTCTCAAGAAGGACATGGAGATGTCATTCAGGGGTTGACGCAGATACTGAGTATGTTTCTTCTCTGTTTTATTTATCTCACTGTAGTGGCTCAAAGTGCTTACTTGAAGTACAAACGTCTACTGAACTTGCTTTTATGAGTTCGGGATACCTTGTCTCCAAGTTGTGATATCAGTTCTCAAAGTATTTCTATACCCAACAGCTCAGTTCCATTCTAAAGAGAGATCCCTTATTAATGGACTCCATCTTGTGAAAGTTTCCCTATTACATTATCTTCCGAACTTGTTAGCACCATAGGTTTGCAACATCATTAGTACCTTCACCATATTATTCTGATTAAATGTGCTTGCAATCAAAATTCATGTGAAAAGTATTTATATTTTGAGGTACTTATAACTGTTCTGTATTGTTACAATGAGTGCCATACAGAAATTGTTGTGAGTATAGCCATCATGGTTGAATGTGATTGTTACAAATAACATGTAGCACGTCTTATATCTTGTGAGCCAAATAAATCCGCATAAAGTATAATCATTGTGGTGAAGGTGCTTTGGCTTTTCTATTTTTTTTCTTCTCTCTCTCATTTTGGTCTTTTTGAGGGTGCTAAATGGTCATTTGTGTACATAACCTTTTGTAAAAAGAAAGGTTATTTGTGTGCACGAAAGGCCCCTGAAACTATGCTGGTATGCTTGAGGGATTACTTATTTTAAAGGGAAAATACATAAAGACCCCCCTAAACTTGGCAACACAACTTACTTTAGCACTTAAAACTATACCGGTGTTTAAATACTCCCCTTAACATCTTTCAAGTGAATTTAAATACACCCGAATAGCTGACGTGGCAAGTCAAAAAAGTCACTGCGCGTAGAAAAGACTAACTGGGCCCTAATTTTTCTTTTTAGCCAATAATCATTCTTTCCTTCATCTTCCTCATACCCTACCACCCCCAGCTCTTAGTACCACCAGCCCCTTCATCTTCCTCACACCCCTCCCGCCCTCAACCCCACTTGCACCACTCCTTTCTTCTTCTTGAACCCCCCCCCCCCACCTCTTTCTCCTTTTTTGAAACCCCTATCTTGACCCTATATCTCCTCTTTGAAACCCCATCGCGACCCTCTTTCTTTTTCTTCGAACTCACTGCCTCAAACACTACTTGCCTCACCTTTTTCTTTTTTTTCTTCGAAGAACTTTCCAGCTTCTTTCTCTTTTTTTGAAACACCCCCATTTTCTTTGAATCTGTAAAAGGGTGTGATGAACACAAAAAAAATAGAAAAGCCAATAATTTATTTTTGCTTCTAAATTATTATTTATCGCAGAGTTTGAATGTGATGAACTTGAAGCTTTTTTTAATGAAAAATCTACAATTTCTTCATCTCAAATTAAATTTTCAGTCATTATTAATTGTTTTGATAAAGTCTTCAAAATTAAATGTGTTTTTGTGAGATTGTGAGAATAATTTTGAGATCTTGGATCAATCTGAGTTTGTTCAATTGCAATTGTGACTGAGTTGTTTTTTTTAACCAAAGGGGATTGTGACAGTTGAGGAACAAGCGCTGATTTTTTCTAAAAAAATTTGCTTTCTAAATTTGTGAATAAATAAAAAGAAACAAAAAAAGAATTTAAAAAATCAAAATTTAAATAATGTTCTATGTGGCACTGATGTGGCAATGATGTGGTGCTGATGTATCAATGACTTGGAGCGTGTGGAATACACTTGCCAATGTGAGACTGGTATTATAATTTTAGGGTGATATTAAATTCACTTGAAAAGAGATTAGGGGGGTAAATAATTACCTGTAAAGTTAAAGTACTAAAGTAAGTTTTGTTGCCAAGTTTAGGGGGGATTTTATGTATTTTCTCTATTTTAAAATTGATTCGTTAAATTTTAAACATCTTACTGAAGTAGTAAATTTGTATCTCTTGTGCAGTGAGATGTGCTAGTGTGGAGAAGTGCATGATATTTATGCCAAGAGTTGATTTATGGGCCATGGAGACATCTGACCTAGTCTGTCCAGAGGATGGTTGCTCTTTATTAAACCCTGAATCATTAGGCAAGGACGAGGAAAGGAGCTTTAACCATAGTGCTGACCAGGCTGGAGATGCTCTCAAAAGAGCCTCCTATCTGTGGAGCTCCTTTGTTGAGCAAGTGGAAAGTATATGCATGGCCACATCCGTGATGCTTCTGGTATGTGCCTTTTGTCCTTAAATTTGCCTTGGGACCTTTATATCTATTTGAATATTATGTTAAAGGAATACACCTTGATGTTTTGTCATATTATATCAGCAAGGTTGCATGTGGAAACAAGAAAGCCGCTTGTGGCATACAATATGATTCTCTTTAATTCTTTTAAGAAGACTATCCTAGATTGTGCAAGTACTTTACAACTTTAATTAAAGAACTCACTCTTTTGCACCCCACGCCCTTTTCCTGTTTCCCTTAAACAGGCTACATCTGATGTACCATTGGAAGCACTCCCTGTTAGAGTGAGGCAGTTCTTTAAAAGTCAGCCATTGAACAGCAGTATCCCGTTTCCCTTGGAAGATTCAGTTTCTAGATTTTCTGAGCAGCTTGATAGAAATTTTGATCAAGAATGTCTGATTGATTCCTCAGCCGCGAAGTTGTCAAAAGATATAGCTCAGCACTTCATTCAGCTGATTCATCGTACAAACCATGTCCACTTGCAGACATGCAATGATGAAGCTAGTGATAAATCTGAGGGCGATGCTGCCATAGAATGTCAGAGGTCAGATCTTAGATCAACCATTGAGCCTGTGAATAAACAATGTCCACTTCCTACTTCTGCAATAGCCAACAGTAGAAATGTAAAAGGGAAATCAAACTTGATGTTAGCAATTACCACATTTGGCTATCAAATTCTGCGATATCCTCATTTTGCTGAACTTTGCTGGTTTACATCCAAGTTAAGAGAAGGTCCTTGTGTTGACATAAATGGACCTTGGAAGGGTTGGCCGTTCAATTCTTGTGTCATTCGTCCTATTATCTCAACGGGAAATGTTACCCTTCCACCCAACAATAATAAAGGCAAAGAGAAATACTGTATGGTGCGAGGCCTGATAGCTATTGGATTGTTGGCATACAGAGGCAAATACTCATCCGTCAGAGAAGTTTCTGCAGAGGTTCGAAAAGTTCTTGAGCTTCTGGTTGAACAGATCAATGATAAAATTCGGAATGGGAGGGATAGGTATCAATTTGTTCGTCTTTTATCCCAAGTTGCTTATCTCGATGACATGGTTAATAGCTGGGTTTATTCGTTGCAGAGGTAAGTTTTGCTCTAACTGTAGTTCATGTACAGTTTTCTTTGGTTTCTTATTGCCAGCCTTACATCTAATGTAAATGGCTTTACTTTCAGTTTAGGGGGAGACTCTCAACTTGCAGAGGCAAACCCAAAGATTGGTTGTGCTGGACTTCCAGAAAGCGCTGATGCTCCTGAGAATACACCTCTGAGGGAGGGAGGTTGCGAGCTAGAAGAACCCCTTGACAAAGCAGAGACATTAGAAACATGTCGTCCAGAATTAACTGCTGAAAATTGTACGCCTGCTAATCCAGAAGCAAATGGTGTTTCTAATTTTCCAGATATCGGAGCTGTAGAACACGAGCCTCTCCACTTGGTGGCTGTAAACCATTCTGCTCCTTCTAGGCAAGTTACTTGTTCTGTACACAGTGTTCTTAATGATAATTCATGCATGCCAGATGATACTGACAAACATTTAGGAAATATTGGAGATAGTGTATTAAAGAGACAATCTAATGGGCTCATGGAGTTAAACATTGATGATGTTCAAGAGGATGGTAATAATCATTCCAGGGACGGGTGTGGCATTGATGAGCATTCTAATTATACTTTGAGTTCCAACTCAAATGGCAGATTGTCCACTCTGAACAACCTTGAAATTGGAGATAGCAACCAAAAGTCTGTTGGCAATAACATAGGTCTTGAATGTTCAAATATATCTTCCAATCTTTCTACTGATTCTAGCATAGTGTGTTTATATCGGTGCTGTCCTCAGTGCCTGCTGAACCTTCAGCGCATCTTGAAAAAAATGCTTTCCTACGAGTGGGGACTTAAAAAGGCCGAGTTTATAGTAGAGGATGCTTATGACTTTCTGGCCTCGTTAGCTGCAAATCTTCATTCGGCTTTGAGGGTATGGTTGCTGGCTGATGATTCAACTTCGTTTTATGAGAAACGAATACAAGTAAGGTACAGTGAATCCTTTGAATGCAAGCAAACTAACTTGTGTGAATGTAGAAACTTAGAGAACAAGTTAATCAAGCTGATAGAATGCAACTGCCATTTGAAAAGCAGTGTCCAAACTGAGAAATGCAAATCTTCTCAGAATTTGTCTCAGGAGTTTATATTTAGAGATGGTGTACTGACCAATTTAGATGAGAAGGATGTCTCTACTCATTGTAAATTTGAGACTTTATGCCTTTGTTCTCTTGTAGAGTGGATAGTAATGAGAAAAAAAACCACTTGATTTATTGGCATATGCCGGAAATTTTTTTATGAACTGCAATGTAATAGTATAAGTTGAACTCCAAGATGTAAAAAATCAAAATTTTGGCTTTCTATTTCAGTTACTCGTTTTTTTAAAAAAAAAAATCTTGAACAATCAGTGGCTCGACTCTTTGTTGCGTCTATTTTCTGTACTGTTTCTTTAACTGCTGCTGTAATTGAGGCGCTGGACGCGTTATTGTTTACTTCTAGTTTACCTAAGTTTCTGAACTAATTGTTGTTGAGCTTTAAGAGATTCCATTTTAGGTAAATGTATCTTGTTCCAGATTGTATCTCTTTATGAAAGTTGATCCAGATACTGTCATTATGTATGTTATTGTAAGACCATGTAGGACATAAGGGCTGTAATTCTTCCATCTCAATCTAACGTCGCATATTTATTTTGGAACGCGTCTCAAACTATTTGACATCCGTCACTATTTATCTTTTCACCAACACAATTTTCAATCCACTTCATTGTACCTACCTGTTATCTTTTCACCAACACAATTTTCAATCCACTTCATTGACAACTAGGTCAGGTCGTGAGGTGCAAAGATGGATCAAAGTTATGAAAGAAAATGGTCCATTCGCAATTTACACAAGTATGCACAAGTTGTTCATTTCTAGGAAATTCAAAATATTCATGTCCCCTTCTTGGGAAAGAGAACCAAAATAGTTCCGCTCCAAACTTGCAAAAGATTAAAACAAGGTTTTCTTTTTCCACAAAAAAAAAAAAGCTGTTCATGAGTAGAACCCTGAATATTTAGATATCTAGATGCTAGAGGGTCAACAGTCCATCAGGGCCTCAAAACCCTCAATCATCTTCATCTTCATCTTCATCCAGCGCAGTAAAATCTTCTATCGCATCAGGTCTAGCATTTTGCTTACTCATAGAGCGGACTTCATCAATTTCTATAAGTAAGAAAGGGTCGCATAACACCCTTTGCGCCTTCAGAATTTTTGGACAACCTGAAAGAAAATTAACTTGCATTTAGTTGTTGAATGAATAGGAACCCATTTTTGTTAGGAAAAGCACAAATACCTGCAACAGGACATTGGCCACGTGTGCTTTTGGACTTCATGTACTGCATAATAGCCTTCTTATCGTATATATGCTTGCAGTCCATGCTGCAAGGAACAAAATATGAAAACCATATATTTTAATCAGCCTGTTACTGATGTAACACACCTAAATACAGAATTACTGGGTAAAAAGTAGAAAACTAAGAATGTAAGAAAAAAAAAAAGAGGTTGTGTAAAATTCTGAGATGGAGAGAAGAAAAATATAAGGAAGCATTCCCGCACCCTAATAGAATTTGATGCGCCTTAATTACCAATGTGCATTACAACTTAATAACTCAAAGAAACTATAATAAAGCCAATTGTTGGGCTCAACAGTTCTATTGAGAGTTAGTTACAATATAGTGATAAAAAGCCTCATTTGAGTCAGAAGCAGTGTACTGGATTGAGGTAATAGCATCTGAATCAAGAATACGCAGAGCAATGAACCTTAGTATAGTGGCAAGTGGGAGAATAGATCATATCAAATATGTATGCAAATGTAAAGCACTTACATGGGTAACTATCTACAAATGCTCATGTCTAAAGCACCCTCTCCATTGGAAACCTAGATATGTATGAAATGGAAGAAAGATATTCACCATACCTACGAACTGGTTCAACAAGTTCAGTAATGGGCTTTCCACTTAATGGGCAAGTCACATTCAGAAGGTTGCATTGTGTACTGGTCATTACAATGTCCTCCTGCTCGTCACCTGGCATTGGCTGTCCTTCGTGATGAACATGCTGCAGAAGAAAGAAAGAGCTCAATTACCCATAGGAGGTTACTCAACAGAGCCCTTGAATAATATAACGGACAGGTTAATAAATTTAGAATACAAATTAATCAAAACTAAAATGGAGATTTCAAATGGAAATAGTCATCCAGTGGACATGGTTAAATGGAGAAAGCAGATGGTGGCATTCAAGATGAAAAAGTCTCCCCTTTTGCTGGGACCATCTCTCTTCTTTATTATTATTTTTCTCTTTCATCTTCTTTACCGCTCTTTTCTCTTTGTTGTTTATTTCAGCACAGGAGGGTTGAGTTCTCTTCTCAGTGCTCTTGTTCAATATAAGTAAGATTGCTTTTCTTCCAAACAAGAATGCAAAAAGTCGTACAACTAACAAGAAAAACATACCCAGACGGCTTCCCGGAATTTTCTCAACAAAGACTGGTTCTGAGTGTGAGACGATGATCTAGCCTTTGATTTTACAATTTCTTCGTCAAACTTCTTCTTAAAATTCGTTGGCTGCAGACAAATGACATAGGGAATGCATATAATTGAAATCTTATTAGTCCAAGCTGAGCAGCAGAAGATCAATACATATATTTTGAACGAAAAGTCACCTCTGGCCCAGGCTCTAATTCATCACCTATAGACTGAATTGCCTCAGATAGATGCATGCACTCATCAGATGCTACCAACAACTGAACAACACCATCTTCAAGATCCTTTACCTGCAACAGAATAAGCCAAACTCATTTACATTCCATCAAGAAAGAAATTGTATGGTTCCCGCTAATATTGAACAATATTTGGATCAGTTTTTAACTTGTTAACATCAACAATTTTACAGGATAACACATCATCTGCTAGCTATCAACATATAATTCACCTAAACATTTTGAGGAAACTAACCTTATGTGTTCTATCATCAGTCATTACATTCTGATAGGTGGAATCGAGTACTATCAAGCCAGTTTTTTCTTCAATTAGTTAGGATATTCATAACCTTCAAATAGCTTCATTGAACCGGTATTTTGTTCAATTTCTGACTAGAGGTTCAGTTCCTATTGCAGATTACACTGGTACCAAAAGTCAAAAGAAACACAATGGACTATGTACATGATTATTCTAACAAAGCTTCAAAATTTGGTAGTATTTCTAGAAATTTACCCCTCGTCCCTAAAGAATGTGAGATTTGCAGTATTAGGTGTAAGCACATCAAATTTTTGGTGTGAATTCAAACATAAATGTCTTAACTTCTTTAAAAAAAAAAAAAAATTTACAAACTACATAGAGACTACTATGAATTATGAAGCCAAAAGAAATATTGCATCAACTCCCCAAATAGCAATATTACCATTTCTTTTGAAGAAAAGCTTGTCTAGTACATTATTTTCAAAAGCTTTTTGTGAACCTAAGCTTGGTCATTTGACAAGCACATCAAGTTAAAGCAAAACCGTTTGGAATTGGGACGGACAGACAAAGATAAAGTACAAATTACCAAAATTACTATTCCCTTTGTCCCAATTTATGGGACGTTTTCCTTTTAAAAATTCTCCTTTGACCCTTCATGATTGATTCATAGTCACACTAATGGTCAGCGATTGTTTTAAACCACAAATTTCAAAAGTCCACGTCAAACACCATATAAATTGAGACCAAGGGAGCACAAACTAAGATAATTATTAGCATTCAAACTAACCAATGTAAAAGTAAAAAATTAAGGTGAGATTCAAGTTCAATACTACATCTACCGCTCACATATCACTAATTACAAGGGAAACATTTAAGAATTAAAAAAAAATTGAACATATAACTAGGGTTTATCATGAAGTACCATTTGAGTTCTCTCATCTCTCTCCAAGTGGACCGCGATATCTTTCATCATAGTCACAGACTTCCTAATTTCCTGCAATAGAAAACGAAAGCAGTCCGATTAAGAACGAGAAAAATTGAAATTTAAAGTTCAATTTCAAAAGTTACGAGCGCAAGCTTAATACAAGGATGAGGGATTGACTGTCGGAGTACAGCGCCGATGTATGAGATCTGATCCTTCCGGCAGCTACGCCGCTGCCTGCGCCGGACGTCGACGCCATTCTGAGTATTTTACGGCGTCGTTTGAATTGAAACACTAGATTTTATTTGTTCCTTTTTTTAAAAAGTGACCTTTTTGTAGTAGAAGCGCGAGGGCAGAAAACTATTTTATGAAAATACATATTTAGGCATTAATTTTATATCTGCTTGCAAAAATGCCCTGGAAGTTCCATTTATGATGTTTCTTCACCCAAATCATCTTAAACAATATTCACACCAGAAAGTTGCAGTTAATAGCACTATTTGAACTTATAAATTACCAATAAATCATCATTAAATAGTGCGAAGTTTCATATTAAAAATTAATTAGAAAAGATATATATATATATATATATATAAAGTGTAGTGATACTCTTAATGAAGTGAGGTCTAACGAAATTTTTTTGTAGACTGTCACAAAACACACTATCACCTAGACAAATAGATGGTGGAACAATGGCGTACGTGAGGCTTGACTTACTACCTTTCAATTCCCTGTTTCTCGTAGTTTTGATTCGAGACACATATACAAAAAAAAGGTAGCATGTGTACTTGGGTGTTCATAAACATTCAGATGATGTGAACGTCACACGTTAAATTACAAGGTAAGCCCAAAATCATCATATAATGGCTCATGTAAAATTTTGTTTGAGAGAGAAATTATTAGGTGTGCGAATAAAGTCTCTAAAAAAGAAAGATATTGTACAATTGAGAATATGAGATTTTTTTTCTCATTAGATTTCCCAAAATTTTCATTCACTTCACCAAGTTGAACAACATTTTTTGGTCCCTTCTTCCACACCTATCATAGGATAAAGTTCATCAATTTGCAAATTACAATAATTAACCTCATAATTATGTACCCATTTAGTACTATAGCTAATCACATCCTCACAACATGAACTAGATAGTCTAAATTCCCTAATTTGCCCTTGTGCACCTGACTTCAGTCCAATTAACATTTCATTTGCTTTTTCCAATTCTCCTTGAAGAATTTCAGTTTCTTTTTCAAGTTGCCTTTTCTCAGATAATGCATTTTCAAGCTTAACTTGAAGGGCATTATAGTCATTTTCCATGCACTGATTTTTCCATCGCGCTCTCCTATTTTGGTACCAAATCGAAATTTGTCGTGGTGGAACCCCTAATTCTCTTGCCAATTGGAGTTTTTTCTCTAAATCGAGTTTTTTAGTTGAATCGAAACTCGCCTCTAAAAGCCTAACTTGTTCTTGATTTAGCCTCTTTTTGTTGTGTTTTGAGTATTTTTGCAAGTTTTGGGAATTGAAGGAACTATTCATGTTGGAAAAATAATGGATGGGAAGAGTATATATGGGACTTTGAAATGCAATGATAATGGTTTTCTATTGTTGGCATTTATATAGGAGATAGAGGTAACCATGAGGGGTAGCTCAGCTGGTAAAGGCCTGGGACAAAGTCCTTCAGGTCGCCGGTTCGAGCCCCAGCAGGGCCACTGGAGGCATTACAAACCGGCCGCGTCTCCAGGGCCCCGTGGAACTAACCGTGGTGGACCCGCCTTGAAACAGCGGGACCCGATGGGTACAGCTAGTCGGGTTCGCAAAGCGACGCCCGGAAACCACGGTAAAAAAATAATAATAAAAATATAGGAGATAGAGGTGAGATATGGAGGGTGGATTTAAATTTGTGCATATTAAAACGGGTCAAATCAATAAACGAGTCATGATCAATTACTCTAAAATTTGTTTGGTTCAAAATCGGTTAAATCGAGATAGTTAATTAACGTGTCATATTTCAATTTGCTCAACTTGATCCCCCCGCCCCCCCGCCCTCCCTCTTTTTTTAGAAAAATAAAAATAAATGTGAAAGCTAATGTTTCACCACTAAAAAAAAATGTAATTTTTTTTATCAACAAATGTTTCCAAGAGATTCTTTTGTATTTTTATAGTAGTGCATCTTTCATAAATTCTTTGTGTAAGTTACGTTACATAAATTTCAATATATAAATAGTTGATTTTGTATGTTTGGGTATCGAAATCAATTCGTTAGGTCAAATCCATATATAGTTTGATGACTCGTTTCAATTTCAATTCATTAAATCAAATCAGTAGACAAGTTATAATTAATCTAACTTAACTAGACGATATTAAGGGAATTAAGTTACTAATAATGAGCTAATTTTACCACGACTAATATATATAGGATATATGCATAGTCTTTAATATAACATATAACTTTAAAATCAGATGCATGACTTGAAGTTTACGAGATTTAATAATGATCTAAACAAAAATTACTGAATTCACACATAAATATGTCAAGTTATTATATTAAACTATATATTGTCATAGACTCATAGTATTAGTTTAATCAACATGGGGAAGCTTCAAAAGATTTTTGTAAATTAAATAAATTAAAGAAATATACGAAGAGATGGATATGGCTGACTTCTCATGCAGTGAGCTTTGTATGTTCACGTGAAGTTGGTCCTACTATGTTAGGACTTAGGACTAAAGAATAGTATTATTTATTTGATTTTAATATGTAATTATAGTATTTAATTTTATCCTAAGGAGGTGCTAATAAAATAAAGTAACAATATCCTATATTTTTTTAGCAAAAAAATATTAATATCAATGTAGTTCCAATTTTGATTTAATGTACTTGGACATCTTTTTTATGATCCACTACAACATTATTTATTTTAGAGAAAGAAAGCGCACAAAGAGAATTAAACAAAACTATCTGAACTAATGTTATGACCATTACACTATATTAATAAGCTAAGAGAGAATATAGTGATCATAATAATTTTTAAGTAATAATATTTATTGTCATGAAAAATTTAGCGGAAATTGAGTTAATTTAGAGAGCGATTTTTGTACAAAGGGTTAGTTCTAAATACATATTTATTATTATCGTTAAATAATTACTGCAAAATCTTTTATTTATGGCAATGTTAATGCTTTCCCGTACTACGTACGTAGTTCCAAAATTTAATATATATCAACATGGGTTTAAGTTATTTTCTTTTTAGTCTATTTAAAGAAGAATATCTTTTTTTTTATGTAATTCCTTAATTTTAATTTTGCACGCTTAATAAGGCAATAAGACTAAAGGAAATTCTGATATATTCTGTCTATTTTTAGTTTAAGACTATAAAATTTAAAAGTCTTCTTTTATTCTGTTAAATTTTATGTCAAATTAAAATCCGATGAACAAACTGAAATGGAGGGGCTGATAGTCAAAATAATATGAACACACTTCTAGATTTTGAAGTCCCTTTTCATGCATTGTGATCTCTTAGGGTTGGATTAATAGTTGTCAAAAATGTAAGTTGGTGGAAGGACACCTTCATTCACTTCAGATTACCTAAGGTGTAGTGGTTGAAATCTTTGTCCATGCATGCACCTAAGACTATATTTAGTGCTATTGATATGACTACTGATAAATTCAGGATCTTGAACAAAATTTTAAGAAAATCCAACATTTAATATATATATTTTTTAAAAAATAAAATTGATCTCTCTACATAATAATAACTTTCGATATATGAAGAGATGTCAACTAATTGATTTAAGACACAATAAATCAAATCATGGAAAATTCAAAATTTAAAACTATAAAATTTAAATTCTAGATTTGTCTCAGGTTAACCAGAAAAATCAAACAATTTCGAATTTAAACAAAAAAACTAAAGTACTTATATTTTCAGAGTGCCCATAGGTTAGGTTAATTTGTGTGTGTGTGTGGGGGGGGGGGGGGGGGGAGGATATTGGATTAGGAATATATAAAATCAATCATTTATGATAATTATTAAACAAAAGTATCCACCACATGACTTGTTAGAATGTCTACTAGCTTGATTGGCTTCTTCCACTTCTTGAACCATGCATTTTTATTTTTTTTGGGACAAAGAATAAAAATAAAACAAAAAAATGTCAAGCATTGGGTACCCGTCGTCCATCTAAAATAATAATAATAAAAAAAACATTTTGGATATAAAGCAATAAAGCACCATTGAATAGATAATGGTTCTAACTAGATTAATCATGAATGGACTAGTAAAATCTTTATTTTTAAAATTAGGACTAGTAAAATCAATCCAAACTATAACTAAATACTATTTTAAAAAAGAAGAAGAAAATCCTACATATGCCCAAATGGCTAATTTCTCACTCAACATTTTAGAAAATTACTTAATTTTCTGTTTTGTAACATAAAAGTCACTCAACTAATGATAATTATATCTCAGAAAGTTACTCAATCTTATATTGTATCAGGAAAAGTCACTCAATTTTATTGTCATTAGTTTTTTTTTTTGTATTTGAGTGATCGAGCATCTGATTATTTAACTCTGAACTCAACAAGGAATCTTTTGAATGAACCATAAAATGATTTTAATAGGAAGCTTTACCATCTTTACGGCCATTCTTCCAATTCCGGCACAACACATACAACAAGGACACAAACAACTCAACAATGACCTGCATTATATTCATAACAAAAATATCAAAATAAGAACAACCCAAAATCGATAGGGGAATCATATTCAAAAATTGGATTTAAATAATTATATACATTGACAGTATAACAATATAATAACATTAATGAATTTTATCACGAGTAAGCAAGTTGGTTAATTACTTCACATAAATTAGTATAATGTTTATGATAAGTTTTTTAAATCACCTACTATATCTTTTATAATGTTAATAAATAGAACTTAAACTCTTTAAATTCCCTTATAGTTATTCACATTTATATTATGCGAAACTAGATAATTAATGTACCTATGAATAACCTAAATCATATATCATGGAACTAAACTATCTGAGTGATTTTTTGGTTACATAAGTATCAATATTGTGGGTTCAATGATCTTATACGATACTTGGGCAAAATTTAGTAACTTGTTATATACTAAAAAAAAACCCACTATAGTGACATTTGGTAAACAATAATAGTTTAGTGACTCTAGTGAAATGTAATGATTAAAAAGAACGAAACGAGAGAGAGAAAGTAAGAGAAGAAAACGAACCCGAGGAGCCATATGAGTGCTCCGACGAGAGATAGAAACAACGCGATAAAAGCAAAAGGCAAAGCAAACAAGAATGCCAATGGGTTGCAATGATAAGAATCTACCATTTTTGTTTCCTTCTTTAATTTCTTCCACCTTTTGCACCAAGTAAATTATTAACTTTTTGATAAATAGGAAAGGAAGAAAGGCTATTTCAGAAATGAAATAAATTAAAGGAGTAATTTATAAAAGTTGAAAAAGATTGATATTTGAAAATTGATTTAAGTGTAGTTTTTACATTGAAAATGTTGACGGTTTTCACTTTTAACAGATGCATATATCGAAACGATTTGAGCGTTACGGTTACTCTTTTTTAAATTCTTTTTAATATTTTCTTAAATTCCATTAAAACACTTTACTTTTTATTTTGTTACACTGGAAGTCACTAAATTACTTTTTGTAACACTTTTCCCAAACTTTTATATATAAACCTAATGGTTATTGTATACTAACTTAAGATAGTTGTACAAACTCATGAACTTCAAATTCTAGATTCGTCTCTGAACTTCATGACACAGTTTTGAAGTTTCATTTGTATAAGTTCAAATGAAACTCACCTTGTTATTAGAACTAGAGAAACTTTTCTTTGTACCACATTTTCATCTTACCAGTTCAGAGTTCCATCCAGTACTCGGTCTAGCATCGTTTTCAGCTCTGTCTAATAATTTTATTCCAAACATAAAACTCGAAAAAAGTTCATGTGCCAACTACCAATACATTGCAAGATATTTAGTTGACTCACTTCAGGTAGTGATCAATACTTGAAAAGCAACATTATGCAGTGCTGGAGAAGCTCAACATACAAAACAAACCTTATTAAGACCTATTTCTGTGTAACAGAACCAAGAATATGTAGCTGCTACCACCGGCTACGAAGAAAACAGAATGAAACTGACTTCAAACTTCAAATCCTTTTAGAGCATATTCTATCAGCATTGTTCTTCGATTTGAGATTGATTTCTTATGCATATGGCACTGGAATTCTCTGTGATTCCGGACCAGCTGCCATATCTTCCCAAAGTAAATCCGAGAGTGCCATTGTCAGTTCTCCCACTTCCCCTGTCACGATGAACAATGTTATTCTTCTCTCCTATGCTTGCAACTTGCAAATTATCGATAGTTAGCTCATTTTAATATCAAGGGGTTCCAGCTTCCTTTTACTGTTGCTGTTTCAATTTGTTTGTCTTACTTTCCTTTATAGTTCGTTTGAAAAGGAATGCTTCTCCCCTTTCTGCAACTCTTTAATTTCAACTTTCTACGTGACATGTTTAAGATCACAAGATTCAAAAGTGTTATTTACTTCTTAAACTCTGTGTCAAGTCAAGTCAAAACTAGACAAACAAATTGAAACAGAAAGAGTAGCATATTGCATATTAAGTGTACTTTGACAACTTTGTTTTAAAGGAAGTGAGGAAAAACTTGTTAAGTGGACGTACCATTTCCGATAGGTTTCTCATCCCACATGATGATAGGTAATAAAGGAAGTGTGCTTCCAACGTACATCATTTCAGTAGATTCTTTGGCCTCTTCGACTGTGATGTCCGTTATTTTGACACATTTCAAACGTCCCTGCTCGACCAACTTGGGTGCGAGTTGAAGAAACCTCATAGCAGTGCACCCGCTTAGGATCTTATCAAAGCTAGGCAAGATAAGCTCCTTATCAGAATTTATAAAAGCAACATTCACATTTGGACCCTCAGCGATATAACCTTTTTCATCAACCCATATAGATGAAAATGCTCCCTTATCCTCAGCCTCCATTACGGAGAGTACATTGGGGAGGTAGTTCACATTTTTCATAGTAGCAAAAAGAGGTGATTTCATGGGGATTGCAGAAGTTATCACTTTTACACCTTCTTTGCATTGTGTGAAATCTTCATCAATCACCACAGCATAGAATGCAGATGTCGGGCATTTAGCTGGGGAGAGTAAGAAGTTCCCAGGCCCTGCACTCAACCAATATCTTAGAGTGCCTTTCCTGCACTTTGATGCTGCAGAAAGTTGAATAAGAATGCTTTTAAGTTCTGAAAATGTAAATGGAGACGCGATCCTGGCTTTAGATGCTGATCTAAGGAAGCGGTTAATGTGGACATCCAATTCGTACAGATAGCTGCATTAGAAAACCAGAGAGAAGCTGAATCAACCATAGACTTATAGCTTAGGATCTTAGCTCCGATAGAGTGTCTCTTACTTTAGTAACACTAAGAATACATGATATGTAAAATGATTTTAGCATATACTTTCATATAATGATAGGCACATTTTTTCTTTACTTTGTTTGTTGGGGAGTCCTTGAACCGAGGGTCTATAGGAAACAACCTCTCTACCTACCTCCCAAGGTACACACTACGCTACCCAGACTCCGCTTGTGGGATTACACTGGGTTGTTGTGTTGTTGTTTTGTTGGGGAGGAGGGCGGGTTTGACTTATAGGGGAATGCATTGTACATCGGAGTTGATTGGAAATGAAGCACGTTATTCACGGAGTCTTAACATAAAGTTGATATTTTCAGAGATCAAATCACAAATTATAACATCATTGTTTAAGGAGCTAGACTAGATTCATACCCATCAAAAATAATAGCTGTGTCAAAGACGCCATGTCCTCGATGCACCATGTGATCATCCATTGGAATAACCATCATTGCTGGATCAAGAATGATTCCACCATAGACACTAGAATACATTGCCGGATAAGGTTGCTGCTTCACTGAATTCCACTTCTCGTGCAACTTCTCAAGTAACTGTCTCAGCAAAGAAACATCTAACTCAACTCATAATGCATTAAAAATGTGGATGACTGTCAATGGCAATAGTCGAAAAATTGCACATAAAGGGGAACTTCTTTGATTCATTTCTTTCGCTTTAGATAATTTTAACTTTTAACTCTTAGACACAATTTGTCCCTAGCTTAAATTTGTGAAAAAGAGCACTGTAAAAGAAATGCCAAGAATCAATACTAAGTCTGTTGGGCAGTAATCAAGTTAGCTGAACTTCATTCATGATTCATCTCATATAACGAGCTGCATTTACTTTGATTTTCTCAAATAACATAAACTACTACATCAGGAAATACTAATAACCGTGAGATAAATGCTAAGTTATGAGCAAGAATTGCATGATCTCCGCAAATTAAATAGCTAATACAGTGGAACTACTAGTAATTGAAGGAGGGGAACTATATATGTTTTAAACTCAAACTTGTTTTGGAGCACACAATAACTATACTGGAGTTTGCCATAACTATATGTCACAGTCCAAACCCATGATACATATTGTCCACTTTGGCCCAGCAGACCTCACAGCTTCATCCCTTGGGCTACCAATCATTGAGCCCAAAAGCGCGTGCACCGTGTGAACTTGGGTTATAACTTGAAAATCCCTTAACTTTCCTCTCTCATTCCTATGTGAATTCGGTTAATATGTAACCCCTCTTCAAAAGCTTGATAGCCTAGAAGTCTGTCATTTCTTCTTTTTTACCCGTTCTAGTCGGCCCACCCTCCACCATGGACATCACACTATACTAGCTCTTGGACCAATTGAAAGGGGCAACACAATTTCCATTCTCCCTCATCTGTTGTACAATGAAACCATTATCTATTAACTCTTTCAACATTTTATTCTTACTATTTTTCCTTTTAATTCCTATTTCAACATTAACTAGTCAAGCTAAAGATTGTAAAATTATGACACATGAACCTAACTCAACCCCAAAAGCTAGCTGGAGTAGGATTGACAAAGTCTATATATGCAAACCACTACTCCATTCCCCAATGAGACTCTAACACCCCTTCACGCCCCGGCCAAACTGGAGTGTGGACTGGGAGCCCAAACAGATGAATCTGACTCTGATATCATGAAAAAATATTTAAAGAGGGATTTAACAATTTTTACCTCGGCAGAGGACGAGAACACATGAACTGAGAAATCTTCCCCATTCTTAGCCTCTGCTGCTACAGCTGCTTCTCAGGAAGAACAACATATCACAAACACCAAAGAGCAAATTATTTTTTGACATTTCATTAAAACTTAAAGAAAAAGAGAAAGTACCTGATGTCTGATCAAACGACGAGTTCGAGGCCGCCATAGTGCAAAAGATTGAAACTTTACAAAGAAATAGATGAATGAGTATTGAAAGTGAGGTGAATGAAATGAGAAGGACCAGAAATTTATAGCAGCAGAAAACAGATGACACATGAGACAAAAACAGTCCATTTGGTTTGATATTTTTGTGTAAAGAACTGAAAAGAATCTATTTTTGTTTTTGTCTGAACTTCTTGTTGGTACTACAACATTGTTTTGGAGAAGTGGTTTTGATGCTAAAGACAGAGCTGCCGTCCAACTACTCTTTGCTTTTCTGTATGATTCAAAATTGGAATCTAAAAGGCTCTTTTTTCTATTATTTCTGAGTCATTATTGGACATAAAATTGAACGTATAATGAAGAGAAAATGACAATAATTGTCCCTTATCAAATGTATACCTCTTCCATTAGAGATGTTCAAGGTGGACACTTAATCGCACGTGACAATTATATTTTGATGAGATGAATATCATGTAGTTAGCCCTCTAAAAATCATTTTTACCCATCCCCTTCACTTCTTCTACCATCACTAAGAAATTGATATATTTACAGATAATTTTGGAAACAAAACGGTCCCCACGCCTTCTCAAATTTTCAATTTTCACCTTAAGAGGGGTTCGAACCCAACCACAACTCTAACGTAATAAACATTTAGGTCACTTCCTTACTAGAAGAGTCAATCAATTTTGTTTGGCGTTCACAAGTTAATATACATACAAATACATGCTCTATTCAAAAGCTATGAATTCGTCGTGAACCCACGAAACCTCACCTAGCTCCGACTCGGTGTGAAAATGCATCAGAGTGAATGAATTAAAAGGCAAAAATATCTTGGGCCTTTCAACTTTTCTCCTCTGTGCTGTGCTGACGCATTTTGTTGAAACTTCGGAAATTCTTGCTTTGCTCTGTTTTTTCTTCTTGCTTGTTCTTGAAATTTATCTGTTGGGTTCTTCTTTCTTGAGAAAATTGAGCCACTTTACTGGAGAATTCTCAATTCTTGGAAATTTAGAGTCTTTTTTGGTGGGAAAGCTGGATTCTTGCTGTTAGTTTATCAACAGCATATACTAGGCCATGTTTTCACCTTCAATTTGCTTTCCAACAACAATTCTTCAAATTCATCCATCTTACTCTTCAGATAACACAAGCCGCTTCAGAACCCACAAATGTAAAAGCTATACTGATGACAGAAAACTCCCCTGTTTCTCTTTCAAAGACTCATCTTTCTCAGCTCGTTTTGATGTTTCTGCAAGTTTTTGTAGAGACGATGAATTAGTAAGTCAATTGGAAGTTCCAGATGATAAAATTTGTTCAGTGAATAGTTTTGTGGCTGACTCAAGTTTGCTTGGTCGTTTGCTTCAATCTAGTTCTAGTTTAAAAGAAGTTAAAATACTTCATGCGATTGTATTGAAGTGTTTGACGAGTAGTACTATATTCGTTGAAAATAATTTGATTAGTATCTTGGTGAAATTTGGGCGTTTGGATGATGCTCGTAAGGTGTTCGATCATATGCCTGAGAAGAATGTGGTTTCTTGGACTGCTATGCTTAATGGGTATTTGAGATATGGGTTTGATGATGAAGCTATGGATTTTTTCGCGGAGTTTGTACAGCATGGTTTACTGTGGAATTCGAAGACCTATGTGTGTGTGTTAAGCATGGCTGGGAGGTGTTGTGATTTTGAGCTGGGGAAGCAAGTTCATGCTGGTGTTATAAAGGGTGGATTTAGTAATTTGATTTTAGATAGTTCGATTGTGTCTTTTTACGCGCAATGTGGGGATTTGGAAAGTGCTTTTCGCGTATTTGATGTGATAAAACGCCCTGATGTAGTTTGTTGGACGACTATGATCACTGCTTGTTCTCAGCATGGGAGAGGGAAGGAAGCTTTACTAATGTTCTTGCAGTTGTTCTCTGATGGTTTTGATGCTAATGAGTTTACTGTCTGTAGTATCCTGAATGCATGTGGGGAGGAGAGGGAGTTAAAATTCGGGAAGCAACTACATGCTGCAGTTATTAAGAATAGATTTAGAATGGATGTCTTCATAGGCACCTCATTGGTAGATATGTATGCGAAGTGTAGTGAGATAGATGATGCTAGGACAGTGTTTGATGGGATGGGGAAAAGGAACACGGTGACATGGACGTCTATTATTGCAGGATATGCTCGTAATGGTCATGCGGAAGAGGCCATAAGACTCTTCCGGATAATGAAAAGGCGAAAGATCTTTGCTAATAACTTGACTATGGTAAGCATCCTTCGAGCGTGTGGCCTACTTAGGACTTTACCAACTGGAAAGGAAGTGCATGCACAAATTATCAAGAATTCTCTCCAAGATAATATTTATTTAGGAAGTACATTAGTGTGGCTGTATTGCAAATGCAGTGAAAATTCTGCAGCACATAAAGTCCTTCAGGACATGCCTATTAGGGATGTAGTTTCATGGACTGCAATGATTTCTGGTTGTGCGCATTTAGGACATGAGTACGAGGCTCTTGAATACTTGAAGGAGATGCTAGGTGAAGGCGTAGCCCCGAATCCATTTACTTATTCATCAGCCCTGAAAGCATGTGCAAAGCTGGAAGATATCGAGAGAGGGAAGCTGATCCATTCCTCCATAAGCAAGACACCTGCTCTGTCAAATGTGTTTGTGGGCAGTGCATTGATCAATATGTATGCAAAATGTGGACATCTTCCTGAGGCAATTCAAATATTTGATAACATGCCCGAGAAGAATTTGGTTTCTTGGAAGGCGATGATTGTTGCTTATGCTAAAAACGGAAACTGTGGAGAGGCATTGAAGCTCATGTATCGTATGCAAGTAGAGGGCATTGAGGTAGATGATTATATCCTCGCTACTGTTCTCACAGCATGTGGAGAATATAAGGAAACTATCAAGTCCAAATCGAAGTATTTCTTGCATCCAAATAGTTCTATAACCTAAACAGAAATGAGGCTCCTCGAGAAGTTTCAGCGATATACAACAACATATCCAGTGTAATGATGGTTTCATTCATGTCTCAATGACAGCTGAACTCTGAGTGCTTCATGTTAGAGTCTGGTTGATAGCTATTCGTCATCGGCTTACTTCTGGACCATCGATGGACATGCCTAGTAGCCCCTGGCTAGCCTGCCTCGCCGGTAAGAATGAGGTGAAATTTATCGGACTCTGCTTTTAGAGGTCCATAATATTCGAACGTTGTATCTTCTAACCTCAGTGATACTCTGTATTATACGTAGGTTAGGTCCCTACGACCGCGTATTGTCATATTAGATCATGTATACTTGAACTTTTTCTTAGTGAAGTGATAAAGAAAAGGTTATAACAACAATTATGTGTACTAAATATTTGAATATTAAAACCATGTTAGTATCATTCATTGGATTGTCTTCAAATCTTTAGCTAAAACTATTACTTGTAGCAAAAAAACTTATCTTTGGACAAAGCAAACAATATCCATTGGGTTTTTATGACCCAACTCCTACAGATTTGTGGATTATGAACTCAAAAATTGATTGTCTTTACTATTACCATGTATAACTTGTACACAATACAAAATTAACATAGTCAGTATAATCCCACAAGTTGAGTCTGGAGAACGTTGTGTGTACCCGTCTTACCCTACCTTGTAAAGGTATCTGTAGAATACAAATGTGGTAGGTGTATACAAATCTGTAGAATACATAGTCATTGCATGTATATATCAAATCGACTATCAGCAAATATACCCGTAAAGTGGTTGAGTTGGTGCAACATGTAGTATCTCTTTGCATAAGAGAGGTCAAACTTCAATTTTCTCGACCAACGGCATCTCAGTTATCCCATCATATATGAGATATACATGGTGGACTAATAATCGCACGACTACCTAATACCCTCCAAACAAACACATGATTAAATAATCCTATATTTTATCTCGGAGTTATCATACCTTCTACCTCACACCAAACTACTCCTCAGTTCTTAACTAGAAGAAGAGAATAAGTTCCTCTTTTGCCAGCTCAATATCATCACTTAGAATTGACAGATTCCTTCACCTGGAAAAAGCATATAAACCATATGAATACTCACACATTACAGCCATTAATCCTTCAGTTATATGTGAGCAACTTATGCAGGGAATCTCCATCAGCTTTAATTTTCACTAACAAATCCACTTGAAAAATGCAGTTCATTTAAATAATTATTCAGTAATGAGGGACAGCTGCCTACACATTCCCCCACAGATTAACTTGAAACTGATAATCAAGAGAAAAAAGCTGCATTATTACCTTGATGTAAAAACATTTTTGGAAGTTAATATTACACTAAAACAAGGGGGGAAAAGTTTGAATTTGAATGTTACAATTACCAAAAATGGGAAATAAGTCAACCATGAACATTAAAACACAAGGGATCATTTGGAATACTTGTAATTTGAATCCTTTATTCCGTTGAAGAGTCGGAATTTTCAATAAAGAGTCTTAAAATATGAGTAAGTTAACTCTAGAAAAAGTCCTAGGGAGTTCAACATAAAATATAAGTTAATTTTTACCATTTAAAATAGCATGAGTCCGATGAACCCCTCGACTTTACCTGACTATGCCCCTGTTACATTAGCAAACTGGAAAGCAGTTGGACCAACTTTTTTTCCTGGAGGTCTCATCAGGTAAGGCCCAAATGCTACAACAAGCCCACTGTTAACATTGATGGACAATAATTTACGTAAATTTTATCTCTATCTTAAAAAATGTGTCAAATATAACTCTTAAAAAATTAATCTTTCTGATATCGTTAGACTTGAGGCTAATATTGGTTTACTCTTACAGATAAAATATTAAATTATTATCTAACATTCGCAATAACTTATAAATTTTATACTGACAATTTTTTCATAAAATTTCCATAGTCTTCCCTCCCCACTCCTCTCCTCCTCCTTTTTTGGGAAAATTACGCGATTAAGCAAATTTATACTATTTAATTACTCATCATAGCTATAGTTTGTTATAATTACCATTCGCGGCTAACATTATACATTAATTACGTGGGC